TATTTCTAAGTACCCCTAAGTTTTAGGTTCCCATTATAGTACGGCACCTGTCAAAGCTTCTAAGAAAGAGTCTGGTCTCATAATAAAATCTAGGTAGTTCTCTAACTTAGGGTCCCTTTTGGGAGTCCTTTTTATAAGGGTGCCGTACTACATTGGGGACCTAGAAAGGGGACCCTAATTTAGAGAACTACCCATCTGCTGCTACAATAGTCTGCTGAAGGGAAGGTTGGCCCGCACGAAGATGGCCGCACCATGAGCCACATGAATTCTGGCCACAGCATCGGGTCATGGAATTATCATACTTGCCACATTTATTCCCGGAAAAGCGAACCAATGCTACCGAAACTGACATCTTCTTTGTAGGCGCCTTTGACATGCAAACTCCTACAACTATGAACTGCGGAAACCCACATGTAGGGGCCTTTATAATAAGAACAGGTAGGGTTTGGGGGGCCCATTATGCTCTAATTTATAACAAGGAACCCCCCCCAAAACAGTTATTATTTACCCTAAACCCTGAACCCTAAACCCTAAGCCCCTGCATTGAACCCTAAACTATACTGAACTTAGACCCCTAGCAAAATTATAATTTTAGCTGCTTCTTAGGGTTTATAGTAACCAAAGATTAAAAACAATTTCTAAGTACCCCTAAGCTAAACCAATCTTAAGTTGGAGCCCTCTGACTCGTGGCCGCTGTCGGCGAAACGACTCCGACGAAGGTCTCTCACCCCGAACCCCGGACAGTCGTTTTTTTTTTTAGGGTTTAGGGTTTAGGGTTTAGGGCAGTCGGGTTTAGGGTTTAGGGCAGTCGGGTTTAGGGTTTAGGGTTTAGGGCCTTAATAACGAGAGTAGGGCTCCTTTAAGGGGTTTCCTTAACAAGAGGTTACAAAAAGGGCTACTACAAGGGCTACTATAAGGGTTTAGGGTGTAGGGGCCTTAAATAATTAGACTAGGGTTTGGGGGTATATGATACTATACTTATAATAAGGAACCCGTAACAGTCACTACGAATGTAGGGGCCTATAATAATTAGAATAGGGTTTTGGGGTATATTATACTATACTTATAATAAGGAACCCCTAAAACCCTATTCCAGGAATTAAGGCCCCTATATTATTCAAGCTAAGGCGAATGCAGCCATGTCTGCAAGTTCTAACGGCTCAAGTTCTAGTGGTGTGAAAACCTGAAGGTACCCTGTGAGCGACGCCTATGAATGAAGCTTTGGGTTTGCTAGTTTCAGACTTGAAGGTAGCTTGAATTCCCAATACAAAACCTCCGTGAAGCCCTTATAGATTTGCAGCCTAGTATACCCCCCAAAACCCCATGCTAACTATAAAGACCCGATCTCGAAACCCCACTGGAGCTTTGTAGAACTTTGCGGAAGCCTTGTAAACCCTAAACCCTAAACCGTTCGACCCAAGCAACAGCCTTTCTCGGCTCTGCCTCACATCAGATTTCTGGCTGCGCGGAAGCCATTGGTGCTGGCCTGCGCGTTGGCTTCGATTCAAAGGGTTTAGGGTTTAGGGTTTGGGGTTTAGGTTTGGGGTTTAGGGTTTAGGGTTTGGGGTTTAGGTTTGGGGTTTAGGGTTTAGGGTTAGTTTGGGGTTTAGGTTGGGGGCTTAGGGCTTAGGTTTAGGGTTGAGGGTTTAGGGACGTTTAGACCAGCTTGCTTGGCTCCATTTTCTAACCTGCCGGATCCTTGGAAAGCTCTCGGCACGTTGAAAAACGCCAGCTGCGGCGAACGGCTGCATCAGCTCAGCCAGAACGGACACTGATGTGGGAGTTTCCGAAAATTAGGGTACCTTATTTTGGGGTCCTCATAATAAGGATCCTACTATTTGGGGTACTATATTAGGGTCCCCTATTTTCGGAAACCCCCATGTCTGTACGGCACCTAAACCCTAAATCCTAAATCCCCAAACCCTAATTCCCTAAACCCAAGTTACCATTCTTCCTAGAAGTACTACCATGTTACTATGAGAACTACGATTACTCTTGTTTCGATTATTACCCCAGACCGCCAAAGTACATCCCTTAAGGGGCTTGCTATAAAGTACCCTCAAGCAGTATAGGGTCCCAGCTCAGGCGATCCACTTTTTGGATCCTTCCGGCGGTCTGGGAATAGATATTGCTAGCTAAACCCTAAACACTAAACCCTGAACCCTGAACCCTAAACCCTGAATCCTAAACCCTGAACCCTAAACCCTAAACCCTGAACCCTAAACCCTGAACCCTAAATCCTAAACCCTAAACACTGAACAAGACCCTAAACCCTAAACCCTGAACCCATAATTAGAAGAGGGCTTTGGGGTAGAACCTACCATAATTATGAAAAGGAGCCCCCGTATTGGTAATTATTACAGGCCCCTAGACCCTAAACCCTAAACCCTACACATATGTATATATATATATATATATCTACCGACTGGTCCAGGACGTGAGTTGCAGCAATAGGGAGCTCACGGCAACGGGCCTCAATCTTCGAATAGGGTGGGGCTCTTAGGGTTTAGGGTTCAGGGTTTAGGGATTGGGGTTTAGGGGTTTAGGGGTTTAGCATGGGAGGAGGAGCCCCATGGAATTATATAGTACCAGTATTTACCCGAAGCCGCAACATCCGAACAACTTAAAGCAAAAGCATGTACACAATGCATGTCACATGGAAAATCTCAGCTTCCCTAGCCCTGACCCTAAATGTTACACTCTAAACCCTGACTCCTAAACTATAGATCCTAAACCCCGAACCCACCTCAACAAAACTGCCTGGTGCTTAGTAGGGAATGGGGGAATGGATCCCTATGATAGTCCCTTAAGGTCCCTTATGGTAGTCCCTAATTATGACCCATTCCCCCATTCCCTACTAAGCGCCAGACAGAAAAGGGTGGGGCCTGGATCTTGCGGACATCGCCGGAGCTGCGGCAGGGCTTCATCCTGCGGCACTTGCTCTATGGCTTCCTTTATGGACATCTTGCCATGATGAGGTTGAGGTAGTCGCGCTTCAAAGTTGAGTTTAGGGTTTAGGGGTTTGGGGTTCAGGGTTTAGGGTTAGGGTTGATAGAGTTGGGAGTTCTATTCAAGAAATGCGAGCTACACTCTCTACAACGATGTTGTGGGAAACATCCTGGCCCGAAGAGCTCCATAGAGGCATCTGTGGGATAATGAGTACTCAGAGGCTGAGTACCCTAGCCCAAAAAAGGTTAACCTTTTGAATTATAGTAGGATTATAAGAGCCCCAAAAGGTTAAAGGTTACCTAATCAGCCCCTGAGCTTCTTCTCAGTGTCGTAGTTACCCTCGTAAACCCTAAACCCCAAGCTCTCTCTCGCTCTCTGTCTCTCTGTGCACGAACTCTTTCGGTCTGCTACACCTTTATAGTATAAAAAAGGAACCCCAAAATTATATTGGTAATTATTTTGGCTTCTATATTATACCTTAGAACGAGTTGCACATCAGATCTCGGCTTGATGCCTCGTCACGATGGCTTGGTCGCGACGGGGTCTTCGTCCCAGGCTTCTTTTGCTTTGAAGGCTGCAAGGTCAGGGCTGCCATTTTTGCGCGGATGCTTATTCCAAATCCGATAACTGAACACTAACCCCTACTTGGAGGATAAAAAATCCCTGGTTCAAGTCATAACTCTAAGCGATGCAGGGAAAAACCGCTTGTGGGAGAAAACCCCGCACGCGGAAACAGAAACCGGACTATACACCCAGGACTTGGAGGATCATGGGACTTAGTAAGTCAGGTTTTAGGCCCCTTAGTTGGGGTTATAAGTATAGTTACCCTAATTATAACCCTACTTACTAAGTCCCATGATCCTAACTACCAAAAACTACCTCCACAAACCCAGTTCTCATCCCTGAATCCAACAAAGATCAAATCCAACCAACCCTATGCACCCTAGAACCCTCATAGAAGCCCTCAGAGAACCCTTCGTAGAACCCTGTCTAAGGAATCCTGGGAACCCTTAAGCCAATACCCTGGCCCAAAAAAAGTTTAAACTTTTCTTTTAGTAGTTGTTTAATATAACAAAAAAGTTTAAAGTTTACCTATTGGGTCTTAAGGGAAAGCAGGCCTGTCTGAAGGCACCTGCCCAAGGATCTCGGGAGGAGCCTGGGTCACCACCTTTGGGCGGGCTGCTCAATACAATATCATAGGTTGGGTACTGCCCCCATACAGTAACGCTCTATAATAGGGCTACTATTAAGGGCCTAATATATCCATAATATAAATATTATCCAACTGTTACTGAGTGGGGGCAGTACCCAAACAATGTCATAGGTCATACTGTTGATGACATGAATCCTGGATTACCTTGAAGGACCCTAAACTGTGGGAATTATGGTATCTTCCTTGCTATGGGTAAGGCAGGGTTTATATCATCAACCGTAAGGGTTAGGGTTCAGGGTTGCGGGTAGCAGTGAAATGTAACACAGGTAACCATACATAGTCTTAGTTATGATCGTCGTGATCATTGGCATGATAACGGCAAGAGTATAACCAAACAGAGTCTAGGGCTCAAGGTCCTATGGGGTTTCTGCTAGGCTCATGGTTTATGGGTTAGGATTGATTGGGGGGGTCTGGTGATGCGAAAGGGGCAGGAATGCGTCATAAGATCCGGTAGCAGATGCCGTTGATCCCGCATGACAGTGATTCCGATGATTGGCTACGCGGTTAAACCCGCCGTATCATCAGTTAGCGAGTCTGATTGGGAAGGCTCCTATAGTAGAACACAAACCCTAAACCCCTGAAGCTCTAAACCCAACAGCCCTAAATTCAAATGCATTAGGCGAGAAGCTTCATCCGAAGATAAGGGCTGTGCCTCCAACTGTATGGGTAGTTCTCTAAACTAGGGCCCCTTTTTTCGGATAAGAGTGCCGTGCGATTTTGGGGACGCAGAAAACGACCCTAGTTTAGAGAACCACCCATATGGTAATTCTGATCTTATCATACGGATTCCGACTGGCGTCGGAAAGCCCAAAGCCTCGATCCCAACACCTCCCTAGAGCGGCTTAGGGTTTAGGGTTTAGGGGTTTAGGGGTTTAGGGTTTAGCGGTTTAGGGGTTTAGGGTTTAGGGGTTTAGGGTTTAGGGCAAACCTTACAAACCCTAACCATGCCAGAAACCTATAGAACTCGCGACGCGACAGATGCTGTAGGGGCCTTAATAATTTTAGAATAAGGTACCCCATTCTAATTTTTTAAGAATGTAGGGGCCTTAATTATTAGAATGACCTATTCTATTTTTTTAAGGCCCCTCTATATATATATATAATACTAAACCCTAAACCCTAAACCCTAAACCCTAAACCCTAAATATATTACCCACCCTAAACCCGAAACCCCAGGCTTCCCTCCCCTAAGCTCACGGCGGCAGACTGCGTAGCCCAGAGCGCCTCTTTCCTGCCATGTGGTTTTAGGGTTTAGGGTTTAGGGTTTAGGGTTTAGGGTTTAGGGTTTAGGGTTTTACTATACTGAGCTTAGACCCCTAGCGAAAATTATAATTTTAGCTGCTTCTTAGGGTTTATAGTAGCCAAAGATTAAAAAATATTTCTAAGTACTCTCAAGGTTTGAGGGTGCAGGGTTTTTAGAATTTAGGGGTTTTAGGGGTTTAGGGGTTTTTAGAACTTAGGGGTTTTAGGGGTTTTAGGGGTTTAGGGTTGTAGAGTTTAGGGGTTTTTGGATTTTGGCTTTGGGATTTTAGGGTTTAGGTTTCAGCCCCAATTTGGGGCCCTGTTGCCATAGTCCAGTCACCACAGCCCAAACCCGGAATAGACACAACATGGCGTCACGAAGACCGCCCACTCACTGGCAGTCACTGACAATAGGTTTCAGTGTCCGGGATTTAAGATTTCGGGGCTAGGGGTTTAGGCTTGTCACCAGGTCGTCGTCGCGATGATCCTCCCCTTTCGATTTGCTGCTGCTCTTGATGCAGTTCCTGTTTCCGCATTTTCTTCCCTTGATCCTCCTTGTGCAGTTGATGTCCCTAAACCCTAAACCCCAAACCCTATTCCCTAAAAAAGAGGCCCTTAAACTTTGTCAATAAGAACCCTGCGGTCGACGAGTCCTCTAACGCCCCCCTGAAGCTCGGATACTTACAGCACCATTCTTTACTCCACTAGGGGACGGAAGACATTGTGTTTGCATGTCCAGTTTCAGCCCTTGTTCCATATCAGCAGAGTCATACAGCGGTGTATACATCCTAGAACCCTACAGCGTTCTAGTCATGAAGGCCCCTCTGTTGCATCCGCCTCCTCAGCTTCAGACCCTACACCAAAAACAGCATCGAACCTGAACCCTAAACCCTAACCCCCTAAACCCAAACCCCCAAACTCTAAAACCCTAAACCCTAAAGCCCTAAAGCCCTAAACCCTGTTCCCTGCAAAACTCGCCAGCACTGCTTTGCTACTCCACGGCTTGGAGGCCCTACAGGCCCCTTCACCTGCATGTGCGGTTTAAGGCTTTGGCTTAAGGTTTAGGGTTTAGGGGTTTAGGGGTTTAGGGTTTAGGGTTTAGGGGTTTAGGGTTTAGGGTTTAGGGGTTTAGGGTTTAGGGTTTGCAGCTCAAGGTGGAGCTGAGGGATGTAGACCCCTGATTAATAACCACCCCCCATCCATTCATAAGACTCACAACATAGGCATCCCAAAGTGAGGGCCCTTAAAGGAGTAGATGTTAATCAAGGGTCTACGTTTGTCTTCAAAAACTTCACTTGTGAGCGTCCCGATCGTTGCTATGATTACTCTTGCTGTGATTCTGTGCCCTCATAGAAACCCTAATAAAAACCCCTTATAGAATCCAAAAGAAACCTCCAGAAACGCTTACGAAACCCTTTATAGAAACCACTAGAAACCTATAGAAACCCTTATAGATCCCTTCAAGGAGCCCTCATAGATCCCTTCAAGGAGCCCTTTTTTTTTGGGGGGGGGGGGGCGGATCAGGATGTGCCGCAGCTGAGGATCGAGGTCCCCAGGGTTGCGCGTCCGGGGCTCCGCGCTTTTTTAGGGGCGCAGGGCTTTAGGGTTTGGGGGTTTAGGGTTTGGGGGTTTAGGGTTTAGGGTTTTAGGGTTTTAGGGTTTAGGGTTTGGGGGTTTAGGGTTTAGGGTTTAGGTTTAGGGTTTAAGGCTTTAGGGTTTAGGTTGAGGTAGACCTCGTCGGTGCGCATTATAGGGGTTAGGGTTTAGGGGTTTAGGGTTTAAGGCTTGAGGGGTTAAGGCTTGAGGGTTTGGGTTTAGGGGTTTAAGGTCTAGGGGTTAGGGTTTAGGGGTTTAGGGTTTAAGAGTTTAGGGTTCAAGGCTTTAGGCCTGAAGGTATAGGGCGCACAGTTTAGGGTGTAAGGCTTTGGGCCTTAAGGTTTAGGGTTTCGGGGCGCTGAGCATTGACGAGAGCTGTAGAGGGTGAGGATGAATGCTGACGGGATTGATAGAAACCCTTATAGATCCCTTTTAAGGGACCACCCATATAGAACCCTTATCTTAGAAGCTGAGTACCCTAGCCCAAAAAAGGTTAACCTTTTGAATTATAGTAGGATTATAAAGGGTTAAGGGTTACCTACTCAGCCCCTGAGTTATAGTACACTTATAGATCCCTTGTAAGGGACCACCCATATAGAACCCTTATGGTACCCTTATAGATGCCTTCATATTTAATATATACTGTAGGGTTTGGTTTAGGGTTTAGGGTTTAGGGTTTAGGGCTTTAGGGTTTGAGGGCTTAGGGCTTAAATCGTATATGACTTTGTATTACGAATCTCGCTGTGATTGTTCTGAATATTATGTTTCAAATTGCTCTGGAATGTTCAACCTGAAGCAAAGAACCTTCGATCCGTTTCAGGCCTGTAGCAAAAGCTCCAAGCGCGAAACGAAGGAAAGGGCTAGGGTTGGGTGTTTAGGGTTTAGGGTTTCGGGTTTAGGGTTTAGGGTTTCGGGTTTACGAGGTTTAGGGTTTAGGGATGGCCTGGTGTAGCAGCGGAAGGAATTGCCGCTCTAACTCCCATTTTCGCCTGCGCAAGGGCTGGAAGCGGGTCTGGATACTATATAGGCCTCAATTCTCAGAAAAGGGCCTTCAAGGTACATTATAATACAAAGTAGAAGTATAATTAAAGGAACCCCAAAGTAGTATGGGTAATCATTCATGCCACTCTATTCTGCTTCGTCCCTTGTGGGGCTGGGAGCGCTGGGCTGAGGGCCATGCGGCGACTAGAGACAGTAGAAGCCAGAAATTTGGAACTTCAGCATCCTCAGGCCCCCAATATGGGTAGTTCTCTAAATTAGGGTCCCTTTTGGGGTCCCCAAGATAGTACGGCACTCTTATAAAAAGGACCCCCCCAAAGGTACCCTAATTTAGAAAACTACCCAATGTAAAGAATAAGGGATCCTAGCACTAATCATCCTACCTCCCATGTTCCAACTTTCTAGGGTTCATCACTGTACAGATCCAGGACTACTGGGCTTCAATGGCGGGGCTAAGGCTTTGTTTAAAGTTTCTGGGTTTGGGGTTTCGGGTTTCGGGTTTAGCGAATCCATGGGCACACGAGACCACGTCCTTGCTCCCCAACACCCATTAGAACGCAGCGCCACAAAAGTTCGAGAGAGAGCGCGAACGCAAAGGGTCCTAAGTGCCTATATAGTAGAATGTAGGGTTCCCATAATAGGAATTACTACAGTATTATGGTTTGGCCAAGGGACCCCCCTCCCCTCCCCCCCCGCCCTATGTAGGCACTTAGGACCCTTAGGGGAAGTGGCAGGCGCAGGAAACCGTTTAATGTAGGGGCACCCACGCTGTTTTGGGGGTTCCTCTGCATAACTATAGTATAATGGACCCCAAAACCCTATTCTACTAGGCCCCTAAACTTTACATCTTTATATTAGCCCTTACAGTAACCCCTTTTAAGGAACCCCCGTTAAAGGAATCCTCTTCTCATGATTAAGGCTCCTAAACCCTAAACCTTAAACCCAAAAACCCTATTCAAATCATTAAGGTCCCTACATTAAAGAACCTGAAAACCCTATTCTAATCATTAAGGTCCCTACATTAAAGAACCCCAAAACCCTATTCTAATCATTACGGTCCCTACCGCTTAAACGGTCTGGTGCTTAGTAGGGAATGGGAGAATGGATCCCTACGATAGTCCCTTAAGGTCCCTTATAGTAGTCCCTATAACCCATTCCCCCATTCCTTACTAAGCACCAGACAGTATCAAGAAACTCAACCCAACCCGAACCCTAAACCCCTAAACCCCTAAACCCTAAACCCTAAACCCTAAACCCTAAACCCCAATACCAAGAAACTCCCTACTAAGCACCAGACAGTTAAAGCAGAAGTCACCCGCGGCCTATTCCTGGAGAGCTGCTGCTTCAAACCTCAGATTTTTTTGCGCTGCAAGAAGAGGCGGGAAGAGGGGGGTTGCTTGATTTAGGGTAGGGTTTAGGGTTTAGGGTTTAGGGTTTAGGGTTTAGGGTTTAGGGTTTAGGGTCTAGGGTGATGTGAGACATGGCAACACGGGGCCCTAAAGTCGGAGAAGGAGAGCTTCTTAGCTTGGCATCCTTCGTGCTTCTTCGCATCCGCAATCCTTCGTGTAAGCCTCGCCATGATGAGGATTCTCTGAGATCACCTTGACACTGTCATGGTGATGACAGCCCTGGTAACCAAGATCCGAAAGATAGGAAGACTAGGAGGAGGAGGAATTATAAGATTATTATGCTTCGCAGTTGGACGAGGATGCAGAGCAAGAGGAGGATGCAGAGACCGAGCAGGAGGAGGGTGACAGCACAGCAGAGCTCAAGAGCCTTGGGTGCGACTTGCCCATTCCGAGGCCCCAAAGCATGCGGACTGTCTCTTCTGAGTCCTTCCCAATTCCCGGACAGCCCTAAGCCCTCAACCCCGGACCTGCAAAAGAGCCCCAAACCCCATCGATGAAGTCCTTGATCTCAACCATCTTTGCCGGGCAGCTATGTATCAGTTCCTTCTCGTTGTCCTTCTCCGTGCCTGTCGGCGGTCTTGGGGCTTGCTTGCTGCTGTTGCTATGGGGGTTACCTTTATGGCACCGTATTCGGGATCTATAGTAAAGAACAGGGTTTCCTTATTTTGGTATCTCATGAACCAAACAGACTGAATCCCCTAACAAGAACCCAGACTGTGCCGTTGCTACTCTCGCTTGGATGCTGCTCATGCACGATTCAGCGGCAGCGGCACTGCAACGTCTTATTCTCAGAGGCTGAGTACCCTAGCCCAAAAAAGGTTAACCTTTTGAATTATAGTAGGATTATAAGAGCCCCAAAAGGTTAAAGGTTACCTAATCAGCCCCTGAGTATTAGGTACTAGGTGGAAGGTCATGGGCAGCAGGTCGCAAGTCGCAGGTAGAAGGGAGACTGTAGTCGCGATCGGAGATCGGATTGATAGCCTCAGAGGCTGAGTACCCTAGCCCAAAAAAGGTTAACTTTTTGAATTATAGTAGGATTATAAGAGCCCCAAAAGGTTAAAGGTTACCTAATCCGCCCCTGAGAGTGATATAAAACTGTAGCGCTAGCAGTGGCAGCAGGAACAGCAAGTAGCAGCAGCAGGAGCAGGAGCAGCAGGAGCAGGAGCGGGACGACGAGGAGGACGAGCAGAAGTAGCAGCAGCTAGGCCGTGCCCCTTGTAGTATTTGCCCTTGGGACTCTTAAAATGCTGTAGGAAAGTTAACCGCAAGGACAGCTGGTGTGGGGGAAGATATTGAGCTATTCTGCATGTGTGCATAAATATCACAAATACTATTGCATATAGAAGTGGAATCTCGTGCTGGGTTGCCGCCTATCAGGTTCATCTGATCCCGCAGCTCTTCGAGCTCGATGATGAGCTGTGCAAACCTGAGCATGCTACCTGACTACCAACCTACCTGCCTACCTACCTACCAACCTACCTATACCTACACCTACGTTATCTTTGGGCAGATTTCGATCCGAAAAACGTCAGGCCCAAGCAATAAGATTAGGGCATTCAGGCTTTAGGGTTTTAGGGCCAGGGCTTAGGGTGACTTCAATGCTAGACGAGCTCCCCGACTTGATCTCAACACACCCTGCACCTTAGCCCCGCTAACCTCCAAACTCTCAGAGCCTGAAAACGTAATAAGCCCCTGTTCAAACCAAGACTACCGTTACTACTACGGCTTAGGGTTTCGGGCCAACTTAGGATTTAAGGAGTTTAGGGATCTCGTCCAGTATCCTGGGGAACTCAACCTTTGGGGTTACATTGGGATTATATGGGGGTTTCCGAAAATAGGGGACCCTAATATGGTACCCTAAATAATAGGATCCCTATTATAAGGACCCCAAAATGAGGTACCCTAATTTTGGGAAACTCCCATATAGGGGTTATAGTGCACCAAACATGTTGAATCTTACGGAACCTGCTACTAGGAAGACCGTTGCTACTACGGCGATGATTGCCCTCACAGTGTTTTAAGCCTACCCAAACATGACTGGAATACATGTTTCACAGATCCTTGGGGGTTGTTGAGGGTTATGCCACTTTGTCAGGGGGTTACGATCCAGGACTGCGGGATCTAGAGTGCTACTGGAGCCATTGGCAACACAAAGCCCTGCATACCTAAACCCAAATCTGTGAATCTTGAGCCATGCAACACGACACATAAACCCTGAATTCCGAACCCGTGACCAGTGGCCAGGGTTTTGGGGGTCGAGAGCTTTGGGGTTACGGTGAAGGGTTTAGGTTTAGGAACGACCTATAGTCTCCATTGTAGTTCCGTTTTGGGGTTACCTTATAGGATCCTGATTATAAACTGGGTTAAACTCAGAAAAGGAACTACAATGAAGACTATAGGTAGGTTTGGTGCGTGGGGCTTCATGGTTCAGGGTGTAGGGTGAATCCCAGAAAGTTGGAAACCGGATTAAGGACAATTATTGCCGAGATTCTCTATACCTGACTCATAAGGATAGAGGCTATTGGGCTTCTAAATTTTGGGCTTCTACTGCCATCACCACCGCGGCACATACCCGAAATCAAAATCACAACATTCCGCCTACACCCCATATGAATGCAAGCCGCTGAATGAAAACACCCCAACCCTGCTTAAAGGATCATGGGACTTAGTAAGTAGGGTTATAATTGGGGTAACTATACTTATAACCCCAATTAAGGGACTGATAACCTTACTAAGTCCCATGATCCTCCAAGTATCCCTAGACCCCAAACCCGAAAATCCTCCAACGCTAAGCCGAGGAGCTTCTCGGGAGAGATGCAGCCCGTCTGTTCGCGTTTCGCCTTGACGGCGGTCTCCTGATGAACAGGATTTGACAGTTTAGGGTGTGGGGCTTAGGGTTCAGACTGGTTTAGGGTCCTCGGCTTAGGGTTCGGAATGGGATTGGATAGCTTAGGGTTTTGGGGTGAAGGTTGGGATCTTCCTGCACGGGTGCATGAAGCTTTTATGCAGGCTTTATGTGGATGAGGCAGGACAGGAAGCGCTTCATTTCTCAGACAAGGGTTCTGAGACCTGTGCACATGGGGTTTAGGGTTTAAGGGTTTAGGATCTAGGGTTTATACACGGGATTTATAGGGTCTTGATGGGGAACTTCATTATGAGTGGGGTTTTGCAATTTTTATTATTGTGAGGGGGATGAACCAACAGTATCAGTGATCAGCAAACCACTACACTGGGAGGGCGGGGTACGGTCTGGGAATTTTGGATTTGAGGCTTGGGAAGCTTTAGGAATCAGGGCTTGAGGTTTCGGGGCGAGGCTTTGGGGGATAGGCGGTGGACAGATCTTTTTGCTTGAGGGGCTCGGATAATTGGTGAAGGTTCAACCCTAAACCCCCATAGACCCTAAACCCAGAACACCGAAGCAAAAACCCCTTCTACAACTCAAGCCCCGCGGCCCCGAGAATCGAACCCCCAAGACTCCGGAACCAGAACCCTAAACCACCCAATCTGTCACAGGGTTTAGGGTTTAGTGGTTATACTTGGAGGATCATGGGACTTAGTAAATAAAGTTATAAGCCCCCTAATTGGGGTCATAAGTATAGTTTAGTTACCCTAATTATAACCCTACTTACTAAGTCCCATGATCCTTTAAGTCGGGTTTAGGGTTTATAGGGTTTAGGGTCCCAAACCTCCGAAGCCGTAGCCCCCAAACGTGCTCGCTCTTGCACCCCGAAGAATCCCAGAGCCGGAGAACGCCTTCCCAAAGTAGTACGGCACCCTTATAACAAAGAAGCCCAAAAGGGGCCCTAGTTTAGAAAAGAACTACCCATAAAGTACCCTGAGAGCAACCCCTATAGATCCCTCGAAGGAACCCTAAAAAGGGAGGCCTTCATGTGCTTTGCGGAAGTCAGCGCCTGTCAGAACTCCGAGCTCGTCTACAAGGTATGGGAGTTTCTGAAAATAAGGGGTACCTTATTTTGGGGGGTCCTTATAATAAGGATCCTACTATTTGGGGTACTATCTTAGGGTCCCCTATTTTCGGAAACCCCGTATACGGCAGTCTCAGGGAGGCCCAGTATACGGCAGTCTCAGGTCAGGGAGGCCCAGCTGTTTTTGAGGTTCAGGCTCTGTCAGGGTTTTTTTTAATGCTCTGTCAGGTTTTTGTTTTTAATGCTCTGTCAGGGTTTTTTTTTCTAAATGCTCTGTCAGGGTTTAGGGTTTAGGGTTCAGGGCTCTTCAGGAATTGACGGTGTCTAGATCTGTTGTGTACTCCAGTCAGGGTGTGCCCTCCTCCTTTTACTTGACTGGTGGACCCTACTCTTATGGTCGATATATCCAGATGTCAACCCATCATTATACGGATAACGATCACCATAGGTATGTCTATATCTATTCCTTGTCTAACAATGCCTATAGCTAGTTGTATCTAGATCCGCATCTATATCTATACCGATACCTTTCTCGAGATCACGGACATATCTATAGAGAGCAAGAATAGGTCAAAGGCTTGTGCCTGTCAGCTTTTCCAGCTTCCTGGGGACGTCACGTCGAGCCGGATTACTAGACTTGAGGGGGGGCATCTTAGCATTGTAATAAAAGGAACCTGATTACGAAACCTCGGATCTTCACTAGGGTTCTTTGTCTACTATCCAGATCCCTATCTGGGGGTTTCCGAAAATAGGGGACCCTAATATAGTACCCAAGTAATAGGATCCTTATTATAAGGATCCCCAAAATAAGGCACCCCGAATTTTCGGAAACTCCCACTTACTATCCAGATCCCTATCTCACGGCACAGAGCCCGAATGCAGGGAGCCCCGGCATTCTCAAGCTCCCCCGCCAGCAGCTGGATGCGCTCAATCCTGATCCCGGACGGATACTCGTAGTTCCGTTGTTCTGCGTATTTCTATGTGCTCTTACCGGTTTTGCGAGCCTAACGAACCACTGTGGGAAAGGGTGGCAACTGCTGGTAACGAACATGGCCTTGATTGCGAAGTTGGGTCGCAACTGCTGGTAAGCAAGTGCCAGACGGGTAGTTTGGGTCAACGTACCACTGTGGGAAACTACCATGGTGAGAACATGGCGAACAACTCCTCCTTACAGGTCTTCAGGCGTACCCTAAACCCTAAACCCCTGTCTGATTGTATACTTTGACTTTGTCCTGCATGCAGCAGGCCCTCTCGTGTCGAATATGTTGTGCAGCTAGACCTGAAAATATGCCCTCACTGTGGCTATTGTGATTGTAAAAACCTGCTGATGGTATGGATATTGCTTATATGAGACTCGACACTAACAATACTATTATTCTAATACCAAGAATACTAAGACTACTACTACTACTACTACTACCACCACTACTGCAACTACTCTCACTACTGCTATCACTACTACTACTTCATAGCGACACGCAGGAGGTGTGAA